TCCTGTAATTCAGGCTAACCTAATGAGACTGGATTCTTAAACTGTGCTGAATTCAAAATGTCAGAGTTTAGTTTTCAGATCTACTATGAAGATATTCATTGCTTTCAGCAAGTCTGAACCTCAATTTTGCTCATCATTAAAATGAAACATAAATGCTTTTTCCAGTCTTTTGATATAAAGGAAGAGATTGTTTTTATTATGTGCTGCATGATGCCCAGCACAGATTCCCAATCTCTTTTAATATCTCTTGGATTTGTTAGAAAACAGAGAAATAACTTTGTAAGTAGGTTTGGGGCTGTCCAATATTGGTTGAGCAGTCCCAGGAGCACTCTGGAGGAGATTGATTCCCTTTCTCCTTAGCCGTTGTACCTCCCACAAGTCCCATATGAGCCAACACCTTACATGCTGTGAAGCCAACAGAGCAGCTTTTTTGTGGAGTCTGCCTATTCCCACTCACGCTGGAAATGGGTGAAAATAGTTGGTGTAAGTGCAAGGGGAATGCTCTTTAAACTTAAAACGAGCAAGATCTGCTTGCTCACTTAGTACAGATGTAACTGACTATACAGTGTGAAAAGCTATCCATATTTAGACTATACAGTAGCAGCATGGGTTAAATTCATAGTTACAGTCAACATATGACAGACTTCCTGCTTACTCAACCCAGGTCATGTTAATTGAAAACCACTTTTCTCTTTGTACGTAAGAGTTCATGATAATCTACACTAATGTTCCCCTATTACTTTAGAAAATTAGAGAAAATAACTCTGGTCATCAGTTAAGTGATGAAGATGGGCCTCCAGCATTGCCAAGTGATTAATCATGGAGTATGTTTTGCATTAATCCCACAATGGGCCAACTATGTAGGGGAAACAATTCTGAGTACAATTGGTTACTCATTTCAGCAAAGATCTAAAAGTGCCCTCCACCTAACCTAGTGACCTCCAGAGACAGAAATTCAAATAGGTGACATTTAGGACGCTTCTTGAAAGTCACAATTTGTGTACATTGCACGGTCACATCAAAACTGAGACAAATGAGAGGCTGGAGCATCTGTCATACAAGAAGAGGTTGAGAGAGCTGGGGCTGGCCAGCCTGGAGGAGGGAAGTCACAGGGAGATCTCATCATTGTGTATAAATTTCTGAGGGAGTGAATAAAGAAAAAAGACCATTCTTCTCAGAGAAGCCAGTGAAAGGAACAAGAGGCAACAGGCTCAAACTGACATACAAGAAATTCTGCTTAAACATAAGAGAACGCTTATTTACTTGTGAAGGTGGTTGACAATTAGTTGTCCAGAGATGTTGTGGTGTCTCTATTTTTGGAGATATTCAAAACTCAGAGCAACCTGCTGTAGCTGACCGCTTCTCTGAGCAATTTCATACTCAATTAAACAGTTTTAACGAAGTCAAACATTTTCTACCAACTAACCAACAGGGCATTTACTTGAAACAAAAGACAATGAGGTTCAATTCGTGTGCACTGTTATGAATTTGAAATTTTATCTCCTAAAAGCTACAGAGCTTCCAAGTGTCTGTTTTATTGGCTGTCCCAGGAATTATTTTCTTCTGTGTGTTTCTTGCTGGAAATTCTATGCTTGTCAAAAGCCTCACATATGTACTTTTAGCCAACCTAGATTTTCTGGGAAAAAAATATTAGAAGAATTGCAACCAGCTTTCCTCTGAAGTGCGATAAAGAGAGTTCATTATAACCATGAACTGCTGTCTCTTCTTTTCTCACCTGACCGTAGTTTTTGCCTTTTAATCTGCTGGGTCCCCTTCCTGCTTTTCATTAAGAATGGACCTGTGAGACTACCAAAAACTATCGAAACCTTCACTTTGTGTCTCCTTGAAAATAGTTTTCACATATTCCTGACACTCACTGAGAAAGACCAACAAATAAACAAATAAAATTACATTTAGTATATTAAAAAATTTCCCTGAGATTCTTCTCTTTATCCTACTCACTGATATTTCCCAGATCCCTCTTGATGATATTTTACATAGGGAAAAAAAAAAAAATAAAAAATATATATATATATATATATGTATGTATTTTGACAACCATACCATTTTGTTATTATGAACAGAGAAACCTCAAAAAAGTAGTCTCCTGTTACATGACAACTTGAAGGTCTCCCCGTGGCTTCCAGTATTATTTTACTTGACCTTTAGTTAAAGATCTGACAGTTGTTAGGAACAGTCTTTGTAAGTCCTTTGGGTGATCACTGACAAAGCTTTTATAGTGTGCTTTATATTTATATTCCTTAACATCAGGCTATAAAATACAAGCTTGCAAAAGCCTATAATTTACTAGGAGATAACAAGTATTCATGTCTTTTATTCTTGTATTTACTTTGAATGCTATAAATCAAACCTGGCACAAGATGAAGCAGCAGCTTATTTTAAGGTGTATGTAGAAGGAGAATTAACACCGAAGACTATAAATTTCCAATATATTTACCGGACTGTTTTTCCTTGTTTTTTTGTCTCTTGACAAGGACTGATTCAAACTCGGTAACCCAGGATAGACATGAATGATAAATACACATCCAGATTTGTGGTTCCAACATTAATGTATAACATTTATTAATATATAATATATGGCAAACTTGTAAACATAATTTCTTCAAAGCCATATATATTAGAATGATGTCCTTGTGAAGATTTTATTACCGTTATGTGCAATGGTCTCTGAGATGTATTTTTCCTTGCTGTCACAGAATGTGATGCTCAATCCAGTTTAACTTTCTAACATACTCTTAAAACTGAACTGAGTGGCTGGCATAGAGAGACCAAGTTCTTCAGTGCAAGTTACTAACCTGAGGTATTCAAATAGGCCCCTAAGCTTTGTGTATGTACACAAAATCTAGTTTCAAAAAATTCTACGGAGTAATTGGTCCCCATGCAAATTAATGAGTACTCACACTCTGGAAAACTCAAGCAATTTTTACTAATATTGCTTTATATTAATGTAGCTAAAGACATGAATAATATTGTTAATATGACTGACGTGTTTCTTTTGTGGTGATAGAATTTCAAGACAGCTTTGCTGCAAGATAAGCAGGTACGCTAATTTTTGTTTCTGGGTTGACTGCAGCTAATATAGCAATGACAACATGTGAATATGGCATTTTATCACACAAATATTTTTAAATTACTTTATGCTATCACTCACAGTTCATTGCTAGGTGTCTCACCTGGTGAACGTTAGTTTACCAATATACTCTGTCAACATTGCAGAACTAACTAGTCTTTCTTAAATTTTTTGTTGACAGTCTGATATCTGTTTCTACTTTCGTCCAGTTTCTCTGGTGCAAGTTTCTAATTTATGCACACAAAGCAAAATTTTTCAAATCTATAACACTTCTTGGTAATACCAGAAAAGATTAGAGATATACTATCCACTGCAAATCCAATGTATAGTCTTAAAATAATCTACTAGGAAACAATTTATCCTCATAGATATAGATATGGAAGTTTAGTAAGGTAGACATCGAAAAATACTTTAAAAAAACAAAACAAAAACAAAAAAAAACCAAAAAAAAACCCAGAAATAATACGGCTGTCTTAAACTGTATACCTTCTGTAAACATGTCTATAGTAGTACTACAGAGAAAACAGTCTACCAAGAACACGTCAGCACTTTCTGCTATGAAAGATGGGAAAGAAGGAAAACAAAGGCTGAAAAGGAGGAGGAAGAAAGCTAGTTCCAGAGAAATGCTTATAAACATGACATTTGAATGTCTTCTTGCAATAAATACCACAAAATAAATGTTAATTTATAATGTATAGGCTTCTTGTAGCTTCCAATACTGTCAGCCATTGGAGATGGAGTTTACACACTCATCATGTAACTTGAATATTCATTAGATTGAGAATTTGTACCCATAAAAAGTAACATATTATTTTGCTGATTAAGGATACCAATTAAACTTGGACACCAGAGTGAAAAGAGCAAGTGTATTTTACTGGTGATAACCAAATACTGTAACGGAATAATACACAAAGCATGCAGTAAGAAAAGGCAAAATAATGCACCTAAAACAACAAATAGGAAAATTCAGGTAATGCATCAAATTATTACTATGTGAGAGAGAGGGAATAATGCTTAAGAAAGCTCCATCACCACTTGCACACGTTCCCATCACCCAGACCCGCAGTGGCTGGGGAGCCCCGGTCACAGCGAGGGTTTGGAGAGCCTGTCCCGGCAAGGGGGAAATCCTACGCAGTGCATCCACCCATGGGTGAGGCTGCCAAAGTCACTGCAAGTGGGTTCAGCCTTATGTACCAGAGATCGACAAGCCAGAATAGCTGGCACCTTTGTTTTGAGCAGAAAATTTCTGATTTCATTCTCCTGTTGGATTCCACCCAAAGCCTGGCCAGGGCTCAGGGAGGAAACCAAGGGAGTTTCTAACAATGCCAAATACGTGGGTTCTCAGCCTTTCATCCTCACTACTGATTATATTCTGTCTAAGCTGCATCTTTCACTAGTGAGTTTACATATTTTATTAATGACTACATGCTAAGTTAGCAGCTTTGGCTCAAGGCCTGTTCAGGCTTCAGTATTTCAATGCTTTAGCAATTTTTACATCGGGATAGGTGGGTTGTTATTACTTAGTACAATACCTACTAGCACAATGGTTTTCAGTTATAAAATATGCAGGATTCATCTATAGGTCAACTCTGGCTTGGGCTTGTTGTCCAAGCTTAGCAGTTCAATCGATCCTTTGACCTATAGTTGAATCATGGCTGTCAAACCATTTCTGTGGTTAGTGACATTAGTTTTTGTTCATTAACTGAGGATGTCTCATCAAGCATGTCCTGATCCAATGTCAGGAAGGGTTCTTAAATGATCCTAGGAGTGAACTTAAGACACGAACAAGGTTAGATGTTGTACAACCTTATAAGCTCTATTTCCTGTAACAAGCAATAATAGCAATAGGACAGAGAGAAGAAATAAAAAGTCAGAATACTGAAGCAATCAGACAGAAGAGATGCAGGAAGATCAGTTACCACCATCACAAATCCAGCAACGTCTGTTGGCTCAGTCTTGGTGCAGGTGATAAGGTTGATCCAAGCTCCGCCAAAAGAGAGGTGATGTCGAAATCCCAAAATCTCAGCCCCGATCCCCGAGAGAGGAGTACGCAGTCCTTTTATTGTCCCAGTCACCACAATTCCCCCAGATAGTCTGCCCATTTCCACGGAGCTCATTGTCATACGTGCTGCCCTGTGTTCTTCCATGTGCACATGCCCAGGTGTTCACGGTGGTCTCCACTTGGCTTTGCGTGCAAGCACAGCTTCGCAGGCACTGCCAAGGAAGTTGTTATTCTGGCTTCAGGTGGATATGGTGGTTTCTTCGGGGACATTTCATCGCTTTCAGAGCATACTCCTCCATGGCAACAGGATGTTGAGGCCAGGTAGTGGTAGTGGTGCAGCAGCAATGTTGAGACAAACACTATCTAAGACAGTCTTTTACACATTAAATATGAGTAATGGTCTGCTGTTTTTGTTGTATGCTAGATGTATACCACAAATGTACAAATACCCAATGACAGGTTCAGAATACTGATTTTTTGCCTGTTAGCAGAGGGAGACATGTTGTGAGGAATAGAATTTTGTTGATTATCACCAGGTAACTCATCTTAGTGGAAAGAACCTGATGTATGTTCTATATGGAAGATGTAAATAAGTACTCCAATTCATTCTGTTTGGTGCTGCAGAGCTTCGTTCTATTCCTCAGCTCCAGATAGTCACAGTATCTACTAATAACCTCTTAGCTGATTTGCTCAATCCAGGATCGTCACTCTCTTCTTCCTCTGCTGGTTTTGCTGTCACCTGTTTAGCTAAAAGATTACTCAAAGATTTACCTTGCCTCAAGCAAGTTTCACAGGTTCCTACTTCAGCATCCTCATAGGGACAGATGTGAAGGGGATGAAGATCATACTGGTTAGTTGGAAAACTAAATCTAGAGAAATAGAAGAAAAGGACTTGCAAGGAGGAATTACAGTCAATGTAAATGAATAATAAGTTTTATGCTTGTAAGAGAACCTCTTGAGAGGTTCCAAACAAAGGCCTTTGAAAGATTTCAGATAAAGATAGATGATCTGATTGTCTGTGTCGTTAACACATCAGTTTTTGTTAAAGTAATCAATTGGTGGAAATGGGTTAAGATGATGGCATCACAAAATGTAGCTAACTGTAAAATGGCCATGACTCATAGTAGATGGGTGTCAGAATTTCGTTCACTCCTTCCACCTGGCTGAATGGATGCCTCTGTCATTTTAGGCTGCCATACTTAATACTCATCTATTGTCATTATACATTTCCTGTGCACTTGGAAGTTTGAAAAAGTACTGAATAAAGAAGTTTATAGTTCTTTCTTTTTAGATTGTTACTTTCAAGTTGAGTAGATTGAAAAGTCTTTTCCTTCATGGTATAATCTAAGACTTCCTAGTAGCATCATAAAATTCTTCATATTCACAAATGAGTTTAAAAATAGAAGACATATAGCAAGAATCTGTTGGTTTAGAACTGGAGACCATGTTGCCGTTGTCCCTCCCCCACCCTCGGACACAAGTAGGGCACAAATCCCGGGTTAAAATAAGAAGAAATTTAATACAACAGTGTGAGAAACAATCTGAATAACAATAACAGTGAACAAGACAAAAGATATACAGAGAAATACCGCAAATGGTTACGGAACAAGCCTGCTGTGGGCTCCCCTTCACCAAAGCTACCAAGGAAAAAGTTCCTGCTTGGACCTGACATCAGCATGTTATGAATAACCCAGCTGGAGATCCCTTCCCCCTTCTCTGCTGGGGAAACTTAACCCTATCCTAGCTGAACCAGGAAAAAGAATAAAAAAAAACAGTCATAGAATATAGCAAGAAATGGTTACAACAAGAACAGCAAGGTATTTCCAGGCTTACACTTTGTATGATGTGGTCTGACTAAAGAAATACATCTCTGTCAGTCATTTACATCATTCAAACACTCCATGTGATACTTTAAGATTAAACTTTCTTCTGAACTTGTCTCTGAATCTCTGAATCTTTCTGCCAGAGGAATGACAGGAATGGTGTCTTCTTACATTACAGGTCTCACCATCTCCCTACTTTTCTGTCCTAAAACCCTTGTCCTCTGTAAACTGTAATTTCTTTCTGTTATTTAAGGTATGACATTCATTATCATAATAAGTGTATTAGAGCAAAGTTGCATCCAGAATTCAACAATGTGCTGTCTATTCAAGTGTGCCTTCTGTCTGCGACCTTCATGCAGCAGCTACTGTCCCACATATCAATGAGTTCACAGCAGAGGTAGATAAAAAGAATGTAGAAGATGAGGATGGAAAAAGATTCAAAGCCTCAAGATTTTGAAACTGGATAAAATGCCCATTACTATGGTATATAGAAGTTAGCGAACATCAGAAGACAGGACGCTTAGAATACTTAGTACACTTAGAAGTGTGCTTAGAGAAAAGTACACTTAGAAGTGTACTTAGAAACAAGTACACTTAGAAATAACATGTAATGGATAGTCTGTGTCTGAGGAAAAAGACGAGTATAAGAGATGCAGTTAATGAGAAAAAGCTGGAACATCTTTCTTTACAGAACAGCAGAAGAGTGGCAGTTAAAACAATTCCTAAACGAATCATTTCTCCTTAAGTGATGTTTTCTACTTTGTGCAGGAAATACTAATAAGAACAAATGACTCAAGTTGAATCTAGAAATTCAAGGCTGGTTTAAATGAAGCTTATTGCTTACATACACAGAGACACACAGTTCAGTAATTTAACTTGGTTAAACCTCATCTGGATGCAGTTCAAATTTACACTTGAAAAGAATGAGGAAATAAATTGATCTTTTAACATCATTTGACAAATAGTTCTTTTAGCTCATGTTAATCAGGAAGTTAGAGAAGGAGTTTTCTTCAGAAGGAATGATGTAGTTTAATTTTTTCCAGTTTTCTTGCATCATGCGGTAGTGTAAAAATAGTGTCTTTTAATGATATGTGTATGTAATCTTTAATATGGCATTAACCATATCTAATACTCTATGCTGGAGGACTTAAAAATGCATAACAACTTATTCACTAAGTAGGAAAAATCAGGACATAGTTAACCTGCTTTCATAGATTCACTCAGAATTTCAAATGTGTGGCTTTTTGTTGTGCTTAATGGAAATGTCTAGTACTTGAAAATCATCTTGGTACCATTTATTTCAGCCCTGACTGCTTTGCTTGAAAGGCTTGTACTTAGAGGAAATGACATTTATTGGTATACTCCCACATTAAGTTTTGAATGAGTTCTAAGTTTTAATTTATAATGGGCCTGAATGGCTTTTCCAAGCATCTGCTGTGAGACACTTCAAGCTCTTGACTCCCATTTACTGTAACAGCACTTAAGGATATCCAACACCTTTCAGAATCAGAATTTCACAGAATCACAGAATCAGCTAGGTTGGAAAGGACCTTGAAGGTCATCTAGTCCAACCATTAACCTAGCACTGACGGTTCCCAAATGTACCACATCCCTAAGTGCGTTGTCGACCCTACTCTTAAACATCTCCAGGGATGGGGACTCCACCACCTCTCTGGGCAGCCCATTCCAACACCTAACAACCTGTTCTGTAAAGAAATACTTCCTGACACCTAGTATAAACCTTACTGATGCAACTTGAGGCCATTCCCTCTTGTTCTATTACTTATTACTTGGTTAAAGTGACTCATCCCCAGCTCTCTGCAACCTCCTTTCAGGTAGCTGTAGAGGGCGATGAGGTCTCCCCTCAGCCTCCTCTTCTCCAGACTAAACACCCCCAGTTCCCTCAGCCGCTCCCCGTACGACCTGTGCTCCAGACCCTGCACCAGCTCCGTTGCCCTTCTCTGGACACGCTCGAGTCATTCAATGTCCTTTTTGTAGTGAGGGGCCCAAAACTGAACACAGGAATCGAGGGGCGGCCTCACCAGTGCTGAGTACAAGGGTCAGATCCCTTCCCTGTCCCTGCTGGCCACGCTATTGCTGACACAAGCCAGGATGCCATTGGCCTTCTTGGCCCCCTGGGCACACTGCTGGCTCCTGTTCAGCCGGTTGTCAATCAGCACCCCCAGGTCCCTCTCTGACTGGCAGCTCTCCAGCCACTCCTCCCCAAGCCTGTAGCACTGCTGGGGGTTGTTGTGGCCCAAGGGCAGCCCCCGGCATTTGGCCTTATGGAAACTCCTCCAGTTGGCCCCAGCCCATGGCTCCAGCCTGTCCAGGTCTCTCTGCAGAGCCTCCCTACCCTCGAGCAGATCAACACTCCCACCCAACTGGGTGTCATCTGCAAACTGACTGAGGGTGCACTCGATCCCCTCGTCTAGATCATCAATAAAGATGTTAAACAGGAGTGGCCCCAAAACCGATCCCTGGGGGACACCACTCGTATTTTCATATAAATTTTTAATGCTTAAACAGTTGTTAATGCTAAAATACCACCTACAGTATAGCTATCCTTGAGAACATTTCATTGCCTATACTGAAAACAGCATTGTGGCAGAAGTCCACAGATATCTAAACTCTTCTTTGAAGTGTTCCTTTTCTTAGGAATGAGTATTCTATCTCCTGAAGAGCTTAGTTGCCATTTCAGACAAAATCTGTGACTCATTAAATCAGTGGTAGAGTTTCCTAAGGTTAGAGTTTTGATGAAAAAAGACATACAAGCACATTGAAAACATACTATTTACCATTTAGGTTGTAGAAACATTTTAATTCCCATATTTAAAGTGAATTCAGGGAATAAGAACAGATGTTTCTCTTTTTGCAGTCTAAACTATGCCATAGCAGACGTTTTAGTAGCTTCAATTCCAGGTCTTCCATTTTCATCTGATCTTTTATGTGTAAAAGCTTGGATGTGTTTCAACTGATCAAACCAATGACAATCGCCACTGCTAAATTAGATTTGAGTATACCTTGTTTTACAGTCAGTTGCTTCTTTTTTTTGAGGGTGGTTTTGAGTGTGTAACATTTCTGCAGTACTTCTAGGGCAAACGAGAAGGAGAATAAATGAATGCACAAAAAACCCATATGAAACTCTGAAACATTCATCATTAAAAAAGAAAAAAAAAAAAAAAAAAAAGAAAAAGGGAAAAGGGAAAAAATGAAAAAAGAAAAAGAAATTACCATAAAAGAAAAAAAAAAATCACCATTTACTGTTATACAAGAATGTTAAAAATATCACAAGTTGTCCTTGAAAATATTAAGAATGGATGAATCAAACAACAAATTTTCAACAGCATGCCAGTAATTATGTCAAAAAAATGTTTTTGTTTCATGCAAATAAAAATTGAAATCAACGTACTTAACAGAGGATTGTATGTAATTTAAGAGAGGGGGAAATCACTTTGAAACAGCTCAGTGCATTTACTCCTAAACTGCAAGTAATTAAACAGT